TAAACAATGTCACGTAACGTCACATTTACCTCCGAAAAAACGTATTCGGTAACCATAAACTCATTAATCATATAGAAAAATAAACTGTAGAGAGGGGCATTTTGCTAAATATATGCACCATATAACATATTCATTATACAGTTTACTGTTCTTCAATGTTTAATTTATTTGAATAAATCCAAGTTTAATTATGTTTATATTAAAAAAACGAATTGAAGTAGAAATATTATGTAATTGTAACTTTATTATTTTAAAAACCTCAAGTGTAATTTTAACAAATCAGTCAGTTTTAACCTTCAATATTATAGTAATGTAGTACCAACTGACTCTCATGTATATTTTACAGCATTAGTTGAGATTTTTTTTCCTTGAGAAAATTTGGCATGTACTGTACCTGATATGTATCCAAAATAATCTATATTGAACCGAATCGGTAATCGAATCGAATCACAAGCGACTGAATCGAATCGTGAAATTTGTGCCAAAACCCAGCCCTAATAGTCCGCCTCAAGAGAGGGATTTAAACCAGGACTCCAAGCATCCTCCTTGAAACTTTGGGAGGGATTGTTTTGTCCCAGTCGATCATTCAGCAAATAAAACTAAAGGATTTTCCACCTCGAGACAAAATAGCCTTCTATGCTTGAAGGAGCCACTGAAGCTTACATGCTTCTTTTTGGAGGGAGTTTTGTTCATTCGGAACCAGTGAAACTAAAGAACCACAGTTCTTTCTTTCCTTTTATCAAATATGAGTGTAATATAAAATTGAGCTGGACTTCTATTAGGGCTGGGTTTTGACACAAATTTCACGATTCGATTCTCATTCACAAGCTTGTGATTCGATTCGATTACCGATTCGATGCAATATCGATTACTTTGGATATATATCAGGTACAGTACATACCAAATTTTCTCAAGGAAAAAAAATCTCTCCCAACTAATGCTGTAAAATATACACGAGTCAGTTGGTACTACATTACTATAATATTGAAGGTTAAAACTGACTGATTTGTTAAAATTACACTTGAGGTTTTTAAAATAATAAAGTTACAATTACATAATATTTCTACTTCAATTCGTTTTTTTAATATAAACATAATTAAACTTGGATTTATTCAAATAAATTAAACATTGAAGAACAGTAAACTGTATAATGAATATGTTATATGGTGCATATATTTAGCAAAATGCCCCTCTCTACAGTTTATTTTTCTATATGATTAATGAGTTTATGGTTACCGAATAGGTAAATGTGACGTTACGTGACATTGTTTA